CAGGGAGCCCGATGTGGGACTCGATCCCGGGACTCCAGGATCATGACCTGAGCCGAAGGCAGTCGCTTAACCAACTGAGCCACCCAGGCGCCCTACATTGAGCATTTTTAAGCACAACCACCAAGATTCATTATCTAGAGTGCTTGTCAGTAATGCAAATTCCTGGGTCCCAATCCAGACATACAGAATAAGTCATTTAAAGTCTCTGAAAATTGATGAGAACCACTGAAGAGAAAAAAAAAGCAGAAAGGACCAGAGTAGAGTTTTAGTGAGATCAAACATCACGTGCTCTACATGGTAGGCTTTGGGTCAGAATTTTATGAATAACTGAGGCTGAAGTTTTGAGTACTTCACAACACAATCCATGGAGATCTTCGAAACTGGCCGATTTGGCTATACTTACGCAGTGAAATCTGCAGCTGCTGTAGCTGCTTTGGTGGCATCCTTATTCAATGTCGCGCCCCAAACAGCACCCTTATGACCCAAAAATGTTCCAATCCAGTCTCCGGTATCTCCCTGGCGTAGCATAGGTTTCCCGTCTAAAACACATTTAAAAAGTGTGATTTAGAAGTTCAAATTACTTAAAATCTAAGACTCAAACATAAAGTGCTCGTGTCAAATAACAAAGTGTTAAACTGCTTTTGTTGTGTAACTATTCTCATTCACTGGGGTCACTAAGAAACGTTCAGAAATAAATTAACTGAAGAGACAAGCCAGACATTCTCGCTGACGCATTTGTAATTCGGTGGGAATATTGATTTGCATCAAAATAACCTAGATTTGAGTCTTATTTTGGACCAACTTCTTAACTGAACCTCAGTTTCCAACTGAAAAATGGGGCTAATACTACATAGGAATGTCCAGTAAAATAAAGGCAATGACAAGTCTCTAAAATAAGGAAAGTTATTACTCGCCTGGCCTCCTGTTTTCTCTATTCCCCATATCCTTGAAAGATTATTTACAGTATATGATGACAGACGCGTCAGCCAAGTGTACAGTCCCGCTTCTCCAGAAATAGCAATAAAAGCGAAATGAGAGGCCCAAGTTGGGGGCAGTACTTAGCCTCGTCAGAGAATCAGAAAAGCCTCCCTTGGCTCCAGCTGCGGAATCCCTAATACAGTGTTTTCCCCATCAGACCACTGTTGGCCCCAATCTCAAAGACTGAGATCCCCCCTTCCGCATTGGGGAGTACCCGCCACTCTACCTTCCGGCCCAGTCCTAGTCGTTAGGGACCCTGCTCACCTTTGCAAGCGCTGATTAAGAAATAGCCATAGGGCGTGATGCCACTGAAGGCCAAATCGACCACAGGCCGCGTGTGGCCCGAGCAGGTGAGCGGCGTCTGCCTCATTGCCATGGCGGCGGCGAACCGAGCGATCCGGCTGTGGAGCCGAGGGTCGTCTTGTCTTTTCCTTCCTCTGCCGCAGAGCCTCTGGCTCAAGGCCCCCGCCCTGACACTGGGGGCTGGGGCTGGGCCGAGAAACAAGAAAAAGAGGCCAATCGGGTAGCACCGAGGTCAGGAAAGGGTTGGGGATGGGTCAGGGAGTCTGCGACGGGCGACCGACAGCCGCCAAGGGAGGGAAAGGGAGGGAGGGAGGAAAGTAGGGGAGGGGGAAAACCGGAGAACCGGCAGCCACGACCCGCACCGTCCACACCGGTACTGGCAGGAAGTGACGATCCCAATGACGCCAAGCGTCCGTCGGAAGTGACGATCTAGCGAGAAGGCAAGTTTGCCCGGTAGCGGAGCGAATAGGACAGCAGCGCGCAGGCGCGAGATCAGTGCACGTTGGGCACGTGACGCTGGCCCCCGCCGGCTACGTACGCATGGAGGAGCTCTAGACTTCGCCGCGGAGTTCCCCCGCGCCAAGCTCTGACCAGCCGGAAACGGCCTTTCTGTCCCCGGGCGGAGTTTGGTGAGTGCGGAAGCTGTGACTGCTCGTCTCAGACTCTGGACCTGGCGGCCCCTGTGGATTAGGCGCCAAGCAATCCAACTGGCTGGGCTGTGCTTGCTGTCTGAACATCTAATCTAGAATGGACAACCAGAGTTGTTCCCGGCGGCGGCCCAAACCAGCAAACATCGTTTAAGAACTTTTTTTTTCAGTTCTTATTAACAACTACAAAGGCAGGCCCTCTGGGGTTGTCTTTAAGGCCCAGAAGAAAAATAATTCCTCCAGGGACTCCTATGTAAAAATTCCTGTACTGCTAGCATTTTAGACATGAGTGTTATGTGACTTTAAATACAGTTAAATTTAAATCGCTTTCCCTTTTAAGGACTTCGAAGGTCTCTAGAGCAGTGGTCCCCAAACTTTTTTGATAAAATATTCACATCAGTAAAACTTGAGTCTGCACTCCCATTATGGGGATAATAATGTGTGTATTAAATGCATGTGCATTATAATTAGGCAAAAACATGCTAGAAGAATATAAACTAAATATAAATAGAAACCCTGGTATTATCTTCCTGCAGGCAGCCCACTTAGGGTATGGGTATCGCTGCTCTGTGTAACAACCGGACTTCTTTGTTGTTTTCTCATACAAAACCTTTGTAAGCAGGAAACATCCTATCTGGGGCAAGTTGTTTCTTTCCTTTGATACTAGACTGTAAACCGAAGACAGATTTTTGTGATTCTTTCACCCAGTACAAGTATCCCCAATACTGTAATATCTTAGCACATACCGATAAATCAGCACAAATGATTGAATGTTTCCTTCTCCGTCATCTTTTTTGTAATAAACATGTATCGTATTTCAAAATTCAAGTCTTGAATGAGGACTTGAAGTACTTCCACATTCTATTTTGTTCATCCATCTATAATACAGACTTGCCACATATGTTTTCCATTATCTTTGGTTCTACTTCCTCTGTGCCAACCTCACCCTATGGTCCAACACACACAGAGACTCCATTCATACACTTAAATATGAGCTGCTTAATGGCAATGGTTATGGCTTTGGCATCTTTGTACTCTAGTACTGAAAAGCGAATGGCATTTAGTGGATGCTCAACAAATGATTGTTTACTGATTAAATAACTACATTAATGATGGACATAAATAAAAGACAAAACAGCTAGTCAGTAAAATATTAATATATATCCATTTGCTGCTCATTGTGTGTAGATAAGCATATAACTGATATGTCTCTAAATAATGTGTATGACTTTATGTAGTGACAGATGTAACTATCCTTATGGTGGTGAGCATTGCATAATGTATAGAATTGTCATATCATTATGTTGTACATCTGAAGCTAATATAACATTGTATGTCAATGATACTTCAATTTTTTTAAAAAAAAGGAAACGGGAAAATTGGTTTTTAAAAAGTGTACTTCCTCCTCATTTGGATTGTGATTTTTGAGAGTATTATGCATCCTGATCAATGGTATGGGCTTCAAGGGGAGTTTAATATTAGAAGACAGATTAATGCAATTAATGTAATATCACTCCAACACAGTATTCTATGAGATGTTTAGATAATCCAAGAAGGCATAAGTGTTGAAAGTTACAAATCTGTAATGATTTAAAGATTATTTATGGAGATTATATATAAAGAAAAATGTTTTAAAGATCTAATATAAATTATTGGAAGTAATGAAAGTTTAGCAAGTTTGCTGGATTTTTATTTATTTAACTTTTTAAAGATTTTATTTATTTGAGAGAGAGAGATACAGCGAGAGAGGGAACACAAGCAGGGGGAGTGGGAAAGGGAGAAGCAGGGTTCCCGCTGAGCAGGGAGCCCGATGCGGGGCTTGATCCCAGGACCCTGGGATCATGACCTGAGCAGACACTTAACGACTGAGCCACCCAGGCGCCCCGGTTGCTGGATTTTTAAAAAAAGTATTGCAAAACTAATTGAATTTCTATAACTAGCAACAAACAAAATGTAATTTTAAAATGCGCCATATAAAATAGCATCAAGACATAAAGAGTACTTGAAATTAAATCTGACCGAGTATGTTTCCCAGCAGAAAAAAAATCTGGCACATTGAAATGCAGAAATTGAGGAGAGTTTAATGAACAGATCATTTACCAGGATGTAGTGAGGATCAAAAGTAACCAATAATGCGGCACCTGGGTGGCTCAGTCACTTAAGCCTCTATTGATTTTGTCTCTGGTCATAACCTCAGCGTCTTGAGATCAAGCCTAGTGTGGGGCTCCACATTGATTGTGGAGCCTACTTAAGATTCCCTTCTCCCTCTGTCCCTCCTCCACTTCACCCCTTATGTGTTCTCACTCTCTCGCTCTCAAAAAAAAAAAAAACCAACAAGAAATGGTGAAACCCAGGGAGAAGATGGGGGTTCTAACCATAAATCTGAGTGGGCAATTGAAAGAGAGCAAACTAAAATATTTCCAAACTGATACACAGATTCAATACAATTCCAAGTAAAAGTCCCAGTTGTTGAAAATGAAACTTGACATACTAATGCTAATATATAGAATAGCAAAAGACCAAAACTAGCTGACACACTCTAAAAGAAGAAAAACAAGGGAGAAGACTTCTCTAAATATCATGAGTTTTTTTTTTCAATTTCAAATTGAAATTGGTGGGATGCCTGGGTGGCTCAGTCGGTTAAGCATCTGCCTTTGGCCCAGGTCAGTGTCCTGGGATCGAGTCCCACATCAGGCTCCTTGCTCAGTGGGAAGCCTGCTTCTCCCTCTGCTACTCCCCTGCTTGTGCATGTGCTCTGTCAAATAAATAAAATCTTTGGGGAAAAAATATGTTAGAATGGCTATCATCAAAAAGAGAAGAAATAACAATTGTTGGTGTGGATATGGAGGAAATGGAACATTTGTGCCTTGTTGGTGGAAATGTAAATTGGTATAACCACTATGGAAAACAGTATGGAGTTTTCTAAAAGAAAAAAAAAAATTGAGCTACTCTATGATCCAGTAAGCTCACTTCTGAGTATATATTCAAGGAAAATGAAATTAGTATTTTGAAGAGATGTCTGTACTCCCATGTTCATTGTAACATTATTTACAATTGCTAAGATACAGAAACAACCAAAGTGTCCATCCATGGATCAATGGGTAAACAAAATGTGATATATATGTAATGTGGTATAGATGTATAATGGAATATTATTCAGCCATAAAGAATGAAATCTTGCAATTTGTAACAACATGGATGGAACTCGAGGGCATTATGCTAAGTTAACTAAGGCAGAGAAAGATAAATACTCTATGATCTCACTTATATGTGGAATCTAAATTTAAAAGAGGAAAACAAGCTGATAGATACTGAGAACAGATTGGTGGTGTCCAAAGATGGGGGTGGAGCATGGAGAAAAGGGGAGGGGGCAAAATGGGTGAAGGGGGTCAAAAGGTACAAAATTCCAGTTCTAAAATAAATAAGCCATGGAGATGTGATGTACAGTATGGCAACTAGAGTTAATAATACTGTATTGCATAATCAAAGGGTGTGATCATTTTGCAATATACACAAATATCGAATCATTATGTTGTATACCTGAAACTATTATATGTCAATTATACCTCAATTTTTAAAAATTAACAGCTTGAAATTTCACAAATTTGTTATCCCACAGTTTCTGTGTATTAGGAGCCCAACATGTTTTAACTGGGACTTCTGGTCACTATTTTAAAGGCTGAAATCAAGGTGTGGGCCCATTGTGTCCTCATCTGGAAGCTGAACTAGGGAAATATCTGCCTCCAGTCTCCATCAAGAACTTTATTAATATTATTCTTTCCCCTCTAATCCACAGTGTTGCCCTGTCGTTAATTAGATTTTTCTGTATATGGACTATTATTTTGTTCCTTTTTTCTGTTTTTATCCAGTGCCATTGCCACAATGGTTTTTGTTTTGTTTTGTTATTAAGATTTTATCTATTTGTCAGAGAGAAAGAGAGCACAAGCAGGGAGAGCGGCAAGCAGAGGGAGAAGCAGGCTCCCACTGAGCAAGGAGCCTGATGCGGGGATCCCGGGACCATGGGATCATGACCTGAGCCGAAGGCAGAGGCTTAACCGACTGTGCCACCCAGGCATCCCAATTCTAACAGTTTTGGGAAATGATATCTTATTATGGTTTTGATTTGCATTTTCTTCGTGATTAGTGATGTTGAGTACATTTTCATGTAACTGCTGGCAATTGTATTCCTTCTTTGAAAAAATGTTTATTCAGTTCCTCTGCCCATTTTTAAATTAGATTGAGTTTTTGCTATTGAATTGTTTGAGTTCTTTATGTATTTGGAGTCTTAACTCCTTATCTGATATATGGTTTGCAAATATGTCTCCCATTCCATGGGTTGCTTTTTCATTTTGTTATTTCTTTTGCTGTGCAGATGTGTTTTAGTTTGATATAGTCTCACATACTAATTTTTGCTTTTGTTTCTTATGCTTTTGGTGTCATATCCAAAAAATCATCGCCAAGACCAAAGTCAAGGAGTTTCGTCCTGTTTTAGTTTTTTGTTTTTTTTTTTTAAGATTTTATTTATTTATTTGAGAGGGAGGGAGTGAGCAGTGGGGAGGGGGAGAGGGAGAAGCAGACTCCACACTGAGCAAGGAAACGGATTCAGGGCTCCATCCCAGGACTCTGGGATCATGGCCTGAGCTGAAGGCAGACGCTTAACTAACTGAGCCACCCAGGTGCCCCTATTTTTTTCTAGTTTTATCACTTTAGTTCTTATGTTTAAGTCCCTAAACCATCTCAAATTAATTTCATTATTGTGCATATGATTATTCAGTTTTCCCAACATCATTTATTGAGTAGTCTGTCTTTTCCCCATTGTCTATTCTCAGCTCCCTCATCAAGTATTAGCTGACTCTATATACAAAGGTTTATTTCTGGGCTCTTGATTTTGTTCCATTGATCTATATGCCTGTTTTTAATGCTAGTACCATACTGTTTCGATTACTATACCTTTGTAGTATAGTTTGAAATCAGGAAGTTCAATGCCTCCAGCTTTGTTCTTATTTCTCAGGATTGTTACCTCTACTTGGGGTCTTCTGTGATTACATACAAATTTTAGGATTTTTTTTTTCTATTTCTGTGAAAAATGCCATTGGAAATTTGATAGAGATTGCATTGAATCTATAGATGGCTTTGGGTAGTATGGACATTTTAATCATACTGATTTTTCCAATCTGTGATTGTGAAATATCTTTTCACTGGTTTGTGTCTTCTCCA